TCTGAAGTGTGTTTCCATCAAAGTTTGGATGGCAAGCTGGTTACCAGCAAATTGAATGCTTTTGCGACGTCCTGGAATACTGGTTCTGTATCGTGTGATCGCGAAAACCTTCGATAAACACCTCGGTCAATTTGCGATTGAGTGTAGAGTGAAAGAAGAAGATGGAGGCCATATTGATGAGATGGTATTACTTTATCTGTGGGAGGATGAGAATTTAGTCATGTAAGAAGGCTTTCAAATAGCTTTCTACAGAAGATGGAAAATTGATTAAGCTATACCCCGCGACAGAGTCATTTGATTTTTTAATCGTGGAGATGGAGATGGCATGTTAATACTTTTATTTGGGGAAAGTATGCCATGCTAGAATATGTAGATAGAATAATTAAAATGGTAAATTCAAGTGACCAGAGTCTTTAGTTAAGTCAGATCGATCTGATAGTATATATTTCAGTAGTAACACTGTGTATTTAATACTGTGGTTGAAGTGTACATATTGTGAGTAAATGTTAGTTACATAAGGATTTATTCGAATAGAATTTCGTTTTTGTATCTTGTATTTTTTGAAAAGTGAGTGATGGGAATTATTGTAGATTACAAAACATTTGATTAGAAAGGGATTTAATTTGAATGACATTTATGTAACCTGAATGCAGAGAACCTATGTCCTCGAATCCTATAAAATTTGTATTTGGTAAACAGGAATGTGTGAAAATCGTCTGAGTTAATTAATTGTATAGTGAATTTAACCTTCAACCCGGACAGTTGGTCGTACTGTCAGCTGGAGAGCTCTATATTTATATTCTCTATTGCGCAAATGCGCAAAACAATTGGGTAATATTTGTCGATTGCCTTAATATTATTGTCTATTAAGGTATTTGCGTATATTAGATGCATTTTATTTGTTATTTGTTAGTACCTGTTTATTAAGAAAGCATACTGTTTATTGTCTTATTTCATTTTATAAGATATTTACATTACAGACATTTTAAAAAAGTATTAATTTACGCTTTTGCTTTTTGATACAGTCAAAAACTCAGGGAATTCCTCGCGTAGAAATACCATTGAAAGAGTTCGCGCTTAGCTGAAAAAAATGCCGATTTTAGCTTATTGCCGAAGCAACGACACTAACCGGGAGGTTCTAGGTCTTTTAGACTCGACGGCGACTGATTTACGACACTAGCTGTATAGCTAAATTGGCTTTAGCCACTGGCTGGAGGAAAATTTTAGCAGGTGGCCGCGCGCATAGACAGGTTTTCGAGGTTTCACCGAACAATACCAGGCGAATGAGAGAGTAGAACACTAACAAACGGGGCTATTTTTTTCTTACTCTTCTTTGTCCTATCCTCACACCTAACTTACAGACACATTACCTTGCTCTGCACTACCTGACATATCGGGAGACCAGTTAGGAGCTTGGAAATCTCCCCGCTGGGGAGAGGTGTCTGTAGGGAGGAATCCACTCGATGTGATGTGTTGGTCTGTCGTAGATATCACCATCCAACGGGGAGGAACACTAATTGAACTGAATAGATGCCTTATTTTACTGACGAGACTCGGGCCATCAGGCCCGCTCTTCCTCCTGACCACGCAAATTTCGCTACGCTCCTTTCATCTAGCAGAGAAAGGAGGTATTTCTTGGGCGAGAAACAGGCGATTTGAATTTAGCTCAGAGGCGTCATTTAGGCTTCAGGATCTTTCACATGCAAGTAAATCTACTAACATGGGCCAGCCGGCTTTACTTCCCCGAAGGAAGGTGTACGAAGGATTTTTTCACCCTTAAAAACGGCTTCGATCGGGTTGAACCCGCCAACTTGGGTACAACCGTCCGGTACGCTAACCGTTACACCATCGCCGCGCGTAACTACCGGGACTAATGACCATAGCAGTTGGCGTCCTCAGAAGCAATAAATTGAAAAAAAATCGACGTGGAACCGAATGTTGATGAAGTGTGATTTCCCCCAGGTTAATGCTTCCCAAGACCGTCAGATCCTGCAGTGCCTGGGCCAGTGAGCTTCCGGATCGTAGGACGTGGGCGAGGTTGTCGACGAAAGCGGGGCTTCGCGCCATCGATGCAAGAAACTCCACCACCTCAGGGGTCTTCAAGTGGCATAGTTGGCGCGTGCGCGCCCTCGAGGTCGCGCTTTGTTCCTCGCTCGTCCATCATCGCGCGACTGTCTTACGACCACGCCTCGTAATGAGTGCTCCTGCCCGCCGATAGACTGCGCCGCCCTCGCCGCCCTCGCCACCACGCCGCCGCCGCCGCCGCCGCTGCTGCCGCCGTCTTCGCAGCGACGGCGTGCCGGAAAAGCGCCGGTAATGAAATTCCGAAGGGCTCATATTTCAGGCTCGCCGCACCGCGCCCGCCCACGCCCACACCCTCGCCCCCGCCCGCGCCACTCGTCCGGACGCGAGGTGCCTCCGCCGACCTCCGCGCTTATTCTTGGGCGCGGGGCTCGAGAGCGCGCGGGCTACACCCGCCCGTGCTTCGCATGCGCCGTTGTAACAAAGAGGCCGTGAGTACTCCAGACACTTTCACCTGCAACATCTTTAAAAAATAATCTTAGGAGGATAATGCCTTGGTAGCAATCAGGGACTTCAGGACGTCAATTAAAATAAGAACCCACTAAATGTGGTTCAGGTTAGAATACTCGATTTCAAGAATTCAAAAGGGTTCTCTTGAGAGGAACCGAATTTTCGACACAAGTAAATCTACTTGGCCGAATACTTCCGTAGTTCTATTCATGAGGTTGATTCCTATAATTTTGATTTTTTTCAGATCTTAATTTATAATATATTTTAAATATTATATTTCGTATTTTAAAGAGTATAGTAAGCAATTTAAAATTGTATATTAATCAAAAAGTTTATACTGTTGAAATTTATTGCGTAAGTACATGTTTTGACAATGACGTTAGGGGGCGAGTTTTCAAATTTGTTTGACGGCAATGGCGCAACATTGTAAACAAATTTCATGGTTTTTTGTACAATAAACGTTACAAATTTGTGAGAGAATCAACGTTAATGTTTGGAAACAACGACGTCACGCATATTTGACAATTGTAGAAAAAATGGTGGTCGGCTATCCAGTTACCGCTACTCCACGTTTCGCTCATTACGATTTGGTCGGCTGCGATGTTTACCGCTACCAATCCATCATTTCTTTGCTGCGATTGGATGAATGTGTGGTGACGCAATGATTCGCAAAAACAAATAATTCCTCATAATCTGTACCATAAAATGATATTTTAAAACTATTTATTTAAGTGAAAAATGTAATTTATAATTTATATTGATATGTATAGAAACACATTTTATAAACATAAATACTGTGACACAAAATCGTCCTTTTGGATATAAGATTAGAAAAACAATCGACTTCGTTTATAGTAAACTTCTGGAGAATAATATTTTGGGTCACTATGATACTGTCACTGTTCACGACATCCGATAATCCTAAATATGAAACTTTTTCTAATACGACTGGATCGTACTTCACAAACAATGCCATCGAAATTTCAATATTTGATGATTTCTTCTCGCTTTATTCAGGACAGAACGCACACAATGAATCTTCATGCAATATAAACGCCCTTAAATGTCTTTTGCTCTGGAGTACTTTCTTCAGATTCTTGTATTTTTATTCATTTTTGTTTTCTTCGGTTTTAAAAGTGTCTCTCGCCGCATTTACGATGTCCCAGAGAGATCGCATTTCAATAGTTTTCAACGTCTGGTCCACGACCATAAAATCTTCAGGATGGCCAGACTGCCACTGATGACTTGAAGGAATTTCCTCAGGTACACGGTTCTCCCAATCCCTTTCATGGGTCTCAATAAACTTTACAAAAAGTACTACTAGAACCTCTACTAGCGAAACCAAAGTGTCACAAATTCACGGTAGAAGAACAAATTATCTCTTAATTCACTACAATCGATGTTGTGAAGTAGTATACTCGAATCTTCTAGGGCTTATTAGTTAGGTATATGGCTCGGGACCAGTGGAGTGAGTTCACAGTAACCGTAAGTTCAGTATGTGAATAGCATTTTTTACTGGTAATATGGAAATGTTTGACTTGTATCGCTGTTTTGTTTACCGGTGATAAAACGTTGCCTAAATACAACTTTCTGAGTTTGTGTTACATGTTTGTGAAAACATAATTGGTAGAAATGAAGTAAATTTTTCACCCTGGAAATTTTTCAGCATAGACCTAATTCTTGGACTATAGGAACGTAGGTATGTTGATGTCATTATAAATGTAAGCAAGTGAAGCAAAACTAATCCACTGGTGTGCGTCTAGACGTAAAAAAGTCCATATCCTTTGCACGTAAACTATATGTAGAGAACGTGCGTTGTGCAATACACGTAGTAAAATGTTATTATCATCTTGCCAGGAGAGGAGAAGAAGTTGGCGATTTGTAAACTTGCGCTAAAGTGTCTGCGCAAAGTGTATCAAGAAAAAACAACCAAAGATTTATAAGTAAGGAATATGAGTGTTAATTTAATGATTCATAAATTTATGGATTTTTGATTGATTTTTATCTGACATACTTTTGAATTGCTGTTTTTTCTTAAATTCTCGTTTAGCTTATTGCATTGTTTAATGTTTTCATAGCATTGCACATTGCATTGTTCAATGTTCTTTGTCAATTTTAATGTTACGTGACATACACTTCGATTTGTTTTTTATACATTTTTTTGTTTGTATTGCCAATCACTGAAGTAAATTTCATCTTTTTGTATTTTCCACTTGCAAATATGATTTTAAAATTTGGTACATTATGAATTATTGCATTGGTTTGCCATGCTTGTTTAATACATTTAAGATGTTTGCAAATGTGTCAGTTGAAACGAGAGTATTATTTTTTGTACTGCTTTGTCCTGCTGAATAGAAAAAAAATAAAATATAAACTTTTATTAGGACTCAACTACGATTTCTAATCATATCATTTTTAATTACATGATGTACGTGACTACATTATCTACGTAGTCTGCATGTGAAAAGATGCATTTAGACTACAGGTACATTACATTTAGACCGTACGTTTATAGTCCACAGCACTACTCTGAGACACCAAGAGCCGTTCCCCAACAAGGCAGTATCCCTGGCGCTATGTGGCAAGTGATGCGTGGCTCCTTGGCGCTTGCAAGCTCCCCCTCCCCTTGTCACCCCTCGCGCGGTGCTCAAAGGCCGGGGAGCGCTTCCTCCGAGGGTAAGCGGTGGGAGCGGAAGGGGTGGGGAGGGGAGGAAAGCGGTGCCCGAGGGAGCGCTGGATAACGAGTACGGGGCGCAAATCGCCTGCCCCACGAGGGGACCAGACGGGGCAGCGCAGCGCAGTTCAGGAGCCATGAACGCCACCGACCCGGACGCCGCATCTGCACTTCCTTCGACCAGCAAGACTCTAACAGTCATCACGAGTATTTTCGTTCCCAAAATAACATGCTACTTATTGTTAGAAGTTGTTTTCTTCTTGTTATTAGTCCATATACTCCATTTCCTATACCGTGATGTATAAAATGATCATTGCCGATCCGGTGGCCGAGATCGCTAAGGCAGTGGTGTCGCAGCGAACTCCGACCGAAGGATCGCGGGTTCGAGTCCCGCCTCGGGCATGGTTGTATTGTGTTTCGTCCTTTCACTCCCTATCATCATCATTATCGTGTCAACCCACAGTTACCATACCGTTACAAGCAATAGTGGTCGCTAATGACATAGTAGTTGATGCGACCTTAAATAATAACAAAAAAAATGATCATTAACTTTTCTGGTCGGCTGAGGTAATGCTCCTGTACGTTTCAAGTGGTTCCGTTATTTTTACCTGTACATGTTAATACTTATTTACATTGGTAAACACGCACTTAGCTCCTTAGCAACCAACCATCCAAACAACGCTTAAGGGAGCATATATAACAACGGCCATTAGAATGCTCGAGTGTCCATTAAATAGATTTTATACACTTTGGTCAAACATTATGCCATTCTAATTAGTACCTCGTCCTCTGTTAGTCTTTAATGACTCATTTGGAGGACTCGTGATATCAATAACTATCTTCGGTAGTCATTGTGGTTGATTCTACGAAGAGTCACAACATTGAGGGAAACAGTTATAACAATGTTTCTTTCAGTGAGAAATTCAAGTTCGAGAAATTCAAGTAAGTAATTTAACAGCTGAAAATAAGTGCATGATATCACAGAAAGAATCAATGAGTAATAGTCATGTAAGGGTGTCTATGTATACATATGGTGTTTTTTGCAATTCTACAATCAGTATAATAAAATCGTATTGTGAAAGTAAAATGTTGAATTGTAGCTTTCAATGGACGCGGATAATTTTTTCCAGTAAACCACGTGAGCGCACCGATTCCGGAGGGAGTACTGGGGGTCAGAGCGCCCTCCTGTTCCTCAAACATCGCTCGTCATTTATTCACCGATTGAGTCAACGCCCATCCACAACGCGGAGTCGTTTGAAAGTCAATAGCGACTTGTCGACGTGTCGATGCGGGATTAAAAAGAACGCAGAATTACACTTGTAAATGAAACCCTCCCCCCACCTAATCAGACATCGGCAGAAACTTCCAAGAGGGTTGGCACGAGGACGAATTCCTCCTCCATTTTTGATTGCCACGTTTGCGAACTATGCGCTGAATAATTTACGTTATTGAGTGTCACTCGTCGCATTTTCTGCATACCTTTTGATTTTATTTTGTTCATTTGTTATGCAAGATCAAAAAAATATTTGAAGTTGACTGTAAACGATAAGATGGTTGGGAAAATGAAGAGTTCATAACATTAATCATGCCGTTATTTATCAATGTTGCTTTTCCTTATTAAATAACTAGGGATATCCCGTCAAAAATTAAACTCTCAGATTAATAATGAATAAAGTAGGCTAATATAAATATTTATTGGAAACAAAATGCAGTGCGAGTGGTTTTAATAATTTTAAGTTCAATTTTGATAAATCCCTCTTCATAAAATTGTCCTGACAAAATTCTATTTTATCAAATTTTTTTAATTGACCATGGAAATGTAGGTTATTTCTAAAATAACACTCAATTTGCGGATTTATTGGTAATGTGATTTGGTGAGAACGAACACAATTATTGAACATTTGTAAGGTCAATTGCATACTTGTATCAACCATTGTAAAACGTTTTCTGGGACCTATTTGCTTCAGGAAATTTAAAGAACTGCAAAATTGACACCTCTGTTTCTAGATGTACAGTACTTATCGTACATACATATTTTTATTGCTGTTGGAGACGCTCTCCTCAACAAATATTTGCTGGTAACATATTATTAAACCATCTCGTATATACCGGTGGGCCAAAAGGCATTACCCATTAAGTTATTTAGTCAAGTTATTTGTTCTCAGCATTCATTGTACATATTGTTACAAATTATTTTCCTCCTGTATCGACACATCTCTGAAGCCTGCAAGTAGACGTTTAGGACTCTGAACAATAGCTTGTAATGCTTTAATTTTGTTTCCTCACTTAATGATGGCCTACTCGACCTATGGCACTCCATCACTGATCCATATCCATATATGCCTCAGAACGAGTCCGTAAATTGAAGACCGCCGTCCGTGTGGGTGGAACAGTGTTGGTGTTCATTCCACCCATCAGTTATTAACCCATAACCACCTTTGTACTAGCTTTGAATACAGAAATGTGTTTCTTCATTCGATAACGTACCAACATCACGGACACGGAACATATGTACTAGTATTACTCGGGCAACTTTTCTTGAACGATGGATTGACGATTTCGGGTGGAGTGGGGATATTAGTTACAAAGTCGGCCACTAGAGTATTTTAAGTAATGCCAACGTCTATGAAATGAAAGTGAAAACTGCATCTTGTGCTTCACTTTTGCGGGAGTTTTAGGTGACTCCCTTGAATGGCCTGGACTTGACTCAGCCATTTCTTTCGATCTTGACATTAAACCTGAACAGGGGTTCTGCACTATGAAAGCAACTGGCTTTGACTAGCTTCTGTTTCGCACCAACGAAGTTTTAATGCTTGAAAGGTTGTCATCAGTGCCCGCTGCGAGTTTTTGCCTTCAACTGTTTATTGCACAAGGGAGGGGGATCAAGGTCATCGTTCAAGAAAAGTTGCGCGAGTAATAAGCAAATCTCTAACTAAACATCCGACAGCAGATGATTGTTTAGTAATGCGCTCTAGTGTGTGTGAGAGCAATTATCATGTACTAATGTCACAGACAAGATATTAAAATTCATGCGGGATTAAAACCACAAAAACCATTAAAATCGGGGAGGAATCATCAAAACTTCGCAAATAAGCTTTAAAAACAATTTTAAGCATATTTTGTCTAATAAGCTAAGTGGATACTCCGATTGATTGGGTCGCCATATGCACTCAAAAGTTAGTTTGAAAAAAATGCTTTCTAGGCAAAAATTGCGAAATGTGAAGGATTTGTTAGAAAAAAGCATGTAAATATTCATTTGAAATGCAATCCGCAACATCCTATAGCATTGTCAAAATCTATGTAGTTAAATAACTCCTAAAAGAAGAGTTTTAGGGCCTTTAAACTTACAATTTTGAGGATGGAGCCTCAAACAAGCGTTTTTCAAATCGTCATCGACAGGATAAGATACCTTTGGACATTCTAGCCGCGAGCTATCTTTGTTTCTGACGCCACAGAAGGTTTAGAAGTATTTATATTATATGTATACTTCCTGTGTACACAGGTTTGCGCCGATTAATGAGGTTTATTTGCGTAATCATTAATTCAGGACGACTCATTTGCATAAGATTATGCAAATAAACCTAAATGCTCTCGCAACAACAATCGGAAGTCTTAATAATTGCTTGATACGGAAGAACATTGCTTTTTAATTGTATAGTGTAGCTGTTCATTTATCGGATTTAACAAATGACTTTCTTGTTTCTGTGAAAAGTTTACGATACAACCTACAGAACTCATGCACAATATATGGCACGACATCCTATCTACTAGTCTACTATCATATCTTGTCTGTTTTTACCTCACCCCTCAAATTTAAAACTCTACTAATTTAAGTCAATATAATACATTCATGGCGAGGGGATTTTTTGGATACATGAATTAAAAATGAAATTTGGTGAAAACATATGCCTATATTTCTTTCACAATATTGTGTATTTTTTCTGGTGTGGGTGATTTTAAAAACCTTACATAAATCATTCAAGAGAAATAATTGTTTTACTTTGTTTATTCGATCTCATTTCTTCGAAGGTGGAATCACTTCACTTTGATAAAATGGAAAATCGCTGCAAGTCCTTATGCTATAATAAAAGTCACGAAAGACGCTATAGTCTACTATGGAACGACGAAGACTCAAGGGAGGAACCATCTCCACGAAATTGCCAGTGTTCTGCGTGTGAATCCAAAAGATAAGGAAGAAGGCTGAAGAAAATTTGAGAAGGGCATTGATATAGCTTAGAAACTAAATCAAACTATGGTGGAAAGAGAGATCTTACGTCTTTTGATGTTCTTCGACAAAAAGAAGAAAGAAATAATATTGGCAAAGAATGGACGATTGTATACAGTGAGGGGTAAAAACTGTGTCTTGTTAGGATTGGATTCTCTTTTACCTGTGATAGTATTTTTTGTATCAGCGGAGAGTCGGTGAAATTTTCAAGTCAGCGTGTTCAGTCATTATATTGCATTGAAAATGCTGGGAAATAATACGTTCCCTAGAGTGATTAGTAATTTCAACAAGTTATAAAGTAACTTGCAATAGTTGAAACCTTTGCAAGAAAACTAGGAGGAATACGTATTCCTGTAATACATTAGTATTGTAAATGCTCTTTTGAATAGGTTAGTAAAAGATTTAGATGATACATACAAGTAAGTTTACATTTATTATTAAACCGATTGATTTATTAATAATGACAAATAGGTGAAAATGTAGTTGGTACATCACATGATAGTTCAGATGCTGTTACTTTATCTCATGTTTTATTGTTCATATTACATAAATTTCTCTCATATTATTTCAGTAGTAAAGATGAGTTTTACGCACATGCAACCGATCTTCATAAAGGAAGAGTTGTGAATTGTTCCAACACCATTTGTCTATAACGCTGATAAAATCATGATTCAACATTTGTTTCAAACATACATTTAATTGCTTTTATTTTTATTTGATATTATGTAAGTACATTGGAAGATTCTTTTTTAAGTTTTAAAAGAATAAACAAGTTTC